AAAAAAAAAAAAAAAAAAAAACAATAAACTTCTATAAAAAAAAATTAATCAAATTCATATTTAACAGTCAAATTAATATTTAAAATTTTAAAAATTTCAGATAATTTCCTTCAAATCAGTCAAATTAAAATTTCAATTTTTTTTCAAATTTTTTAAAAATTAATTTTTTCCAAAAAAAAAAAACATAGTTTCCACGTGGAAAATTTCAAATTAAAATAAAAAAGAATGAAATAATAATAATGATCATAATTTAAATTTTATTTAAACCTAAATATAAAAGTAAAAATATTAAATATCAGCTTTTTAAAATTGAATAAAATAATTAATGAGGAAAATGGGGGTGTAGTACAGTCGCGAAGAAGGCGCGTGGAAAAGTTGAGAGGGTTAAGATTGAGTGAGCTTTATAGTATTTGTAAAGAACATAGAAATGTTTGTATTATTTAGGGTAAAATTAAGGAAACAAAGAAAGAAAGAAGTAAAGCATTAACATTCATGTTCACAACAACCTTTTGCTTTTAATTTGGGTCTCCACTTTCCTTCCCTTTTAGTGCCTCCTATCCCTTACCCCATCTAAATCTATTCTTTTCCATTCCCGACCCTGTTTTTCTACTGCAATAAAGTCGTTACTACATCCATGACATGATTGTTAAGTGCGGAAACGATGTCATGACTTAAACGTTCGAAGTAAAATAAACGATGTGACGTTTGTAACATCATTTGAAAAATAAAAATAATGCCCTAATAAAATATCATTGCCCCGACACTGGTTCCAGGGCTTTCATCGCAATGTGGTTGTCATTCGTATATGGGTGTCTTACCTTTATTTGAACGGTAAGAGTAACATATGACTTGAGTATTTTAAGAACCAAAACAGTGCACACACATGCAACATGGATGAACCTATCCTTTTAACATATCATATCATGGACTTAAGGAGCTTTTCAGTCTTTGTACATGGCCTACGCGTTCGAGCATTTGCTAATGGATTCTTGTCGAACATCACAAAGGTAAAGGGTCTGCATAACGTTATGGCGAAACATAAATGTCGAAAATCATAAATCGTAATGTACGTGTTCGTACTCATCATATTGGGGAAGTATCTTGATACACATAACACACAAATATGCATGAGATTTCCATAACTTATAATCATGACATAATGTATAATGCAACACAAATCTCTATTTATCTATAGAATAACAAGTCTGTGAACATAATTCATGTACATACATGACATAGTTTTCATGACATGGTACATCATAGCATATCTTTAATACATAACATAGCATAACATAACATATCAATCATGTATATGACACGTGCAAGGACGACATGACACACATCATCATACATAATAAAATTCATCGAGTCAAGCCAATAATGGAGCCACTTACTTGGTTGGCATGAGCTGGAGTCACTTAATAATCCTAAGTTGGTTTGAGACACTCCTTATAAAACAATTCAACCTATGTAACCCACGATCCAATATCCGGACATATTAACGAGCTTAGCTTACCTAAATTATCAACTAATTCCTAATTTAAGTTGAGCAATTAGGGATCACGCTGACCTTAAATTCCTTCAATAAGGTCAAAAACAGTTTCAAGAGGGTCGAAAACACAGAAAACTAGTCCAAATAGTGCGAGCTACGCTAGATTATCTTAATTTTAAGTTAGCATATTAAAATAAAAAATGAAATTATTTTCAAATTAGTTGAAGTAACAAAAGTATATGGTAATCTATTTTAAAAATTAAATTTTTTTTATATTATAAAGTTAATTCAACTATTAATTTTATTAATTTTGTGTTTAAGAAATCTTTGTTCTGCAAAAATGCGACGATCTGACTTCTAACGCTTGGGATTTGCATCACTTTTGTGTACATAGAACTCACTATGCAAGCATCAGTTTCATACGTTGGGGATGAACGTTTCATTCACTTGGTACTCCAACTTTTCGAACGATTGAATCTCCTATTTTTTCATAAAATCTTCCTAGCTATGACTCGAACACAAAATCAAGGCTTGTGAGAGTCTCATTGTGAGATCCCATATCGGTTGAAGAGGGGAATAAAACATTCTTTATAAAGATATAGAAACCTCTCCCGAAGGTGCGTCTAAAATCCCTAGAAAATGCGTTTAAAAAATCTTGGGGGGAAGCCCGAAAGGGAAAGCCCAAAGAGGATAACATCTATGGACTATTACAAATGGTACCAGAGCTAGACACTAGGCAGTGAGTCAGCAAGGACGTTGAGTGTCACAATCGCACTCTTGATGGCAGCAGACTTGCGATTGTGCAGCACTCACTTTTCAACGACAAGTGAGCTAAGCCAATTGGTTTTTATGTCGCCTACGGCCAAGCGACGTATGCTTGAGCTTCTGGCCTCGGTTTAAGAGAAGGTTTTAGAAAATGAGGGCAAAGAGATTTTCGAAAGAGACGTTGTATAAGCAAGCAAGAGAGTAACAACGACTCAAAGTATATAACCTTGGGTAGGGAGAAGTTGACAACTAGTCATATCCCCCTATAGTACATTTTGAGGTATTAGGCCTAGACATGATTTTTTCGAAACGTCGTACAAAAGGAAGACATAAAGGGGTTGGCTTGTCATGGGCATGCGACCATAAACAACACACCTTGAACGAGCATGACCGTGATACTGAGCACCAAAAGGAGGTGAATGGTGAGATCCCACGTCAATTGAAGAGAGAAACAAAACATTCTTAGGTTTTGTTAAGGTGTCTAAGAATAATATGCACGAGAATCAGATAACTGTATTTGGTATTACATGAGAATGCTCCCTGACTAATTTTTTTAAAAAAGAACACAGTTTATCCGACATCCAACAATCATTCGACCGACCGAGCCTAAAGTATATCATCTATATGTTGCTTTTCAAATACAAACTTTTCGTATTTACAACCTTAAAATTTGGAATAATTTATGTCCAAAAAGATGGGAAGTCAGGGTCACCTGTTATAAACGTGGGATTTGGCAACAAAAAGGAAGGCAATGAAGCTAAGAACACTAAGGCCAGACAGTAACAGGTAAAAGTAATCAAGATGAGCCTTGTTAAGGTTGTCGGGAAACCAGCTCAGATGCCCATTGCCTTTAGTAGCTGAATCAATAATTGATATCAAAAGGCTACTTAAAATGCTACCCATTCCAAGGATACTGATGAAAATGGCAGGTCCAACACTTTTCAAATCCCTAGCCACTTGATCATAGCAAAACTCTTGAAGCCCAACCACTGTAAACACATCAGCCAAACCATTCAACACATATTGAGGAACCAACCACCAGAACTTCATTGGAATTGTCATGTCCGGTCTATCGATCAGACCGTGTTCGAGGGCGGTTTTCAAACGTTTTTTCTCGACCAGGGATGCAACCACCATAGAGATAGTTGATATGATCATCCCAGATCCGATTCTTTGTAATGTTGTTATGCCAGATGAGTTTCCTGTTACTGTTTTGGCAATGGGAACGAAGACGAGATCATAGACCACGATGAAGATGACGATTGTAAAGGAAATAATTGCCTCGAGTGACGCGGCGGGAACGGTGAAACCTGATGAAATTGTTCGGTCTAATGTTGCTGCTTGTTTGGTGAAGAAGGTGGCGTCTTGTGAGAACACAATGGTGAACATGATAAGTGTAGCCCATATTAGAAGAATTCTGAGAATTGCCTTTGCTTCTTCAACCTCGCTGATGCTGCACGCCGTTGCGTTTTGGTTTGAATCGATGGGAACGATGCAAGCTTTGTTGAGAAATCTGTCACACCAAAGGAGGAACGGTTAGGAATCACGAACCTCCATAATGGCTTTGTTTGGGTTTCCCAAAAGGCCTCGTAGCAATAGAGATAGTATTCCTCAACAATGTGAGGCTCCCTCCCAACAATCCTCAACAATTTTCCCCTCGAACAAAGTACACTATAGATCAGTACTTTGTTCCCCTCAAACATCCTCTCCTTAACCGAGGCTCGACTCCTTCTCTGGAGTCTTCTCCCAAACAAATTACACCATAGAGTCTCCCTTGAGGCCTATGATGCCCTTGAACATCCTCTCCTTAATTGAGGCTCGACTCCTTCTCTAGAGTCTTCTCCTAAACAAAGTACACTATAGAGCCTCCCCTTGAGGCCTATGAAGCCCTCGAACATCCTCTCCTTAATCGAGGCTCAACTCCTTCACTGGAGTCTCCTCTCGAACAAAGTACACCATAGAGCCTCCCCTGAGGCCTATAGAACCCTCGAACATCCTCTCTTCAATCGAGGCTCGACTCCTTTGGAGTCTCCTTTCGAACAAAGTACACCAAAGAGCCTCCACTGAGGCCTATGGAGCCCTCGAACATCCTCCCTTAATCGAGGCTCAACTCTTCTCTAGAGCCCTCAAACAAAGTACACCATTTGTTCGATACTTGAGTCACTTTTGACTACACTTTTGAGGCTCACAACTTCTTTGTTCGACATTTGAGGATACTATTGACATGACTAAGTTAAGGGTATGACTCTGATACCATGTTAAGAATCACAAACCTCCACAATGGTATCATATTGTCCACTTTGAGCATAAGCTCTCGGTTTCCCCTTTCACACCAATGGAGATAGTATTCCTTACTTATAAACTCATGATTTTCCCCTCACCAACGTGGGACTCCCTCCCAACCATCCTCAACCGGAACTTATAAGTGTCAATAAGAAGGAGAAAACAATGGATATTGCAGCATTCTTACTTGAATTGTTGAGAATTTGACAAATCTTTGCCAATCCTTGAGGGAGAAGCTCTCCAATTCCTAATAGAAGCCACGAACACTCGACCAACTCTCATAAACGGGCTCTTATCTGATTGCTTGACGGTAAACCGATACGTCTTGGTACCGAGAAGGAAAACAATGAAACCAGTGAGCATTGCAGCACAAGGAATTCCAAATCCAACACTCCAACTAAGATTCTCTTGTGCATATGCTACAGTTGGAATGGCTACTACGATTCCTGAGCAGGCACCAAAATACCACCAATTGAAGAAGGAGCCCTTGAATTTGGCCTCTTGAGGATTTTGGTCATCGAACTGATCGGCCCCAAAAGCCTGCACGCACGGCCTGTGCCCACCTTGTGCTATCCCGATTAGACATAGAGAAGCGAAGAATAGAACGAGCTGAAGCTTAGGAGCCGAACAGGGCATGGATTTGTTAGGGACAGCGCAGATCGAGGAGTTTGCCGTAGACAGAACCAACAATCCTAGTCCCTGTACAAAATTCCCAAAGTTTAAGGAAACAAGTGTTAGGAAATGCACATACTCGATCTATATGAACACAAAGAAAAGGAAAGAGAAATGCGAAGAGGAATATTCGCTAAAGATTTATATTGATGGCTTCAGGTATATAAAATTACCATTTGTAACAGTCCAAGCCCACCGTTTACTACTCCAACAAGTGTCTTGCACCGTTTGGTGACTGGCTCTAATACCAATGTCTCGCACCGTTCGATGATTAGCTTTGATATCATTTGTAATAGCCCAAGCCCACCGTTTACTATGGAGAGGGTCTAGCCCTACTCCAACCAGTGTCTCGCACTGTTCAGTGACTAGCTCTAATACAACTTGTAACAGTCAGTCCATCGTTATCCTCTTAGGGTTTTCCCTTCCGGGATTCCCCTCAAGTTTTTACCCCTCAAGATTTTACAATGCATCTATTTGGGAGAGGTTTTCATGCCTTATAAACGTGTCTATTTAGGAGAGGTTTTCATGCCTTATAAACGCGTCTACCAGGGACAGGTTTTCATGCCTTATAAACGCGTCTACCAGGGACAGGTTTTCATGCCTTATAAACGCGTCTACCAGGGACAGGTTTTCATGCCTTATAACCGCGTCTATTAGGGACAGGTTTTCATGCCTTATAAACGCGTCTATTAGGGACAGGTTTTCATGCCTTATAAATGCGTCTACCAGGGACAGGTTTCCATGCCTTATAAAAGCGTCAACCAGGGACAGGTTTCCATGCCTTATAAAAGCGTCAACCAGGGACAGGTTTCCACGCCTTATAAACGCGTCTACCAGGGACAGGTTTCCATGCCTTATAAACGCGTCTACCAGGGACAGGTTTCCACGCCTTATAAACGCGTTTTCCACGCCTTATAAACGTGTTTACTAGGGACAGGTTTCCACGCCTTATAAACGCGTTTACTAGGGAGAGGTTTCCACGCCTTATAAACGCGTCTATTAGGGAGAGGTTTCCACGCCTTAAGAAGTGTTTTGTTTCTCTCTCAAATTACAAAGAGAATACAAAAAATGCAGCCACTACTACCTAATGGGTATATATAAACGCGTCTATTAGGGAGAGGTTTCCACACCTTAAGGAGTGTTTTGTTTCTCTCTCAAATTACAGAGAGAATACAAAAAATGCAGCATCACTACTACCTAATGGGTATATATATGGTTTAGTGTATATAACTTTACCAGATATAACCATCTACTATATATAAATATCTACCCGCTCCATATTCCGATCAGAACAAACATTCAATCAAACAAGAACAAAAAAAAAAAAAAAAGAAACATTGCCCTCAGCTACTGAATTTCAATTTCACAAACATTAGCAAATCAAAAAGAGAACGGATGATCAGAGAAAAAGAGAGATACCAAAAGGTAAGAAATAGATGCAAAAACAATGGTACGGTATCGTCCAAAGAAGGAATCAGCAACAAAGGCTCCAAAGAGAGTGAGGAGCATGGAGGTGCCAGACCAGACATTGACAATCTCGGCCGCCGCCACCATGGAAATGTGGAGCGGACCTGTCAAGTAAGTTATGAGGTTGGCGCCGATTCCATAGAAAGCAAATCTCTCAGCAACCTCCATCCCTAAAATGGTCAACAAGGAGAATGAATCGATGAAGGAGGTGGAGGAGATGAGATAATTAGGGATTTGGTTTACCTATAATGAAAGAGGCGGAGCTCCATGTGCCGGAGGAGGATCTGAGAAGTGGGCGACCTTTATAATCGACGGCGCCGTCGACGGTGTGGCTGAGCAGTGGAGTTGAGTGGTCCATGGTTGGAAGAACAGAAGAACAGCAGCCACAGAAACAGTATGAATTCGATTGGAGAGCCGTCGGGGTTGAAAAGGGTTACTTTCTTTTGGAACTATTTGTATTGTCGCCTTCTCCAAACCCTCCATTTGTGTTGGAATTGAAAGACGAAGACTTTGATTCGACACAAAAAGTGTTGGGGGTGGGATTTCTAAGAAGATATTAGGCCCATGCTCACAGGTGGAAGAGAGATCTCAAGATAAAATGAGATTACATCAGACATTTCAAAATTTACTTTTTTAAGGTTTTTCCGAGAGAGATTTGAGGGAAGAGTTTGTAAGAGGTCGGGAAAGGGTGTTGGATTATTGGGAGGGAGTTCCACGCTAATTAAGAGGAAGAACATGTGTTTATAAATAAGGAATACATCGACGTTGTTGCGAGGAATACATCGACCTCTTGATTATAAAGGGCGAATAATCTCAATTGGTACGAGGCCTTTTGGTACCAAGCCCAGGAGAAATAATCTCCATTGGTATGAGACGGATAATCTCAATTGGTGCCAAAGTTCATATGCTCAACATATGAGTGTGAAAGTTCATATGCTCAACCTAGACAATATCACGTAAGTGTGAAAGTTCATATACTCAATTAGGAGAGGGAGTTCATATGTTCAAGATAGACATTATCATATTATCATATAGTAAGTGTGAGATTGATCCAGTTAGCTATATCACAACAATGCCTATCCAAATCTCAGAGCTTTAAACTACAAAGCTCCAACACGGTTGAGTTCATGTGATATTCCTCCTACTCTAAATATAACCTCCTGTTCTTGCAAATGATGGAAAACACGTATAAACAGGCACCCTAAGCCAGGTTATCTTACTCGATAGACGATTTCAGATTTCAATACACAGCTTTAAATTACAGTGCTACCGAAACAGTCGTGTTCAAGTGGTATTCCCCTTAGTGTAGATGTATGTTCTTGCAAAACATGAGAAAGCAGCAAACCCAATAGCACTAAGCCCAACAAGCGACCAGTAGAAGTAATCAAGATGAGCTTTGTTCAGATTATTATCAAACCAGCTTTCTTTGCCATCCCCACTGCTTAATTTTTCGATGGCAGATATGAGAAAGCTGCTCAAAATGCTGCCAACGCCAAAAATACTCAGATACAGAGAAAGACCGATGCTTCTCAATCCACTTGGAACCTGGTCATAGAAAAACTCTTGCAACCCAACCATTGTGAAAGCATCAGAAATTCCAACAAGTAAATATTGAGGAACCAGCCACCATATACTCAGAGGAATAGTCGCCTTTGGCATATCAACTAAACCATATTCTTGAGCTGTTTTGAGCCTTTTCACCTCCACTAATGCAGCAATGACCATGGAAAGAGCAGATAATATCATCCCAAATCCGATTCTCTGTAGCATTGTAATTCCAGAAGGTTTCCCGGTGAAATGTCTCGCAATCGGAATGATTATGCGATCATATATTAGGATGGAAATGCCAATGGATAGACTGATAAAGGATTGAAGTGAAGCAGCAGGTACTTCAAATCCAGGAACTATTGATCTGTCCATCGTGACTCCTTGTTTTGTGAAGAAAGTTGATGACTGAGAGAATACAATACCATATGCTAAGCATGTAACCCATATGGGGGCAAGCCCTACTAATGATTTTGCTTCCTCAACTTCACTGATAGTACAAGCATGACCATCTTCCTTCGAACTATTAGGTACAATCAAAGCTTTGTCTAGGAACCTACCAAATTATAGAATCTAGTAAAGAAAAGAGTTACGATAATGCATACAATATAAAATGGTGTTAGGATCGCACAATAATGCACACACTCGATCTACCAAATTATAGAATCAAGTAAAGAAAAGGGCTACGATAATGCATACAACATAAAATGATGTTAGGATCGCACAATAACGCACACACTCGATCTAGATGAACACAAAGAATAGTGGAGAGAAAATACCACAGACTATATATATATATATAGCTTTAACATATAACCACTCGCTATAAATATCTATCATATATGAATAAGCTATAAATAGTCAGCCAGCTCCATATCCACATGTTATAAAGAATTACCTATCATATCCATATTACGACTATTTTTCTGAACAGAACAGAAAAGATTAGTACATTTTACCCTTCTTTTAGTCCTCTGATTTACCTGAACTGTTGAGAGCTATGGTGCGGTAAAAGGCCAAGGATTTCCTCTTCATGAGCTATTTCTGAAGAAATTACTCGCCAATTTCGTACTGCCATGACAAACACCCGTCCAATCCTCACAAATGGGTTTTCCACATCTCCTTCGCTACTGTATCTGTACGTCTTAGTTCCAAGCAAGAAGACTAGCAGTGCAAAAATCATAGCAATACAAGGAATTCCAAACCCAAGACTCCAGCTAAGGTTATCTTGCACATAGCTCACTATAGTAAATGTTGCAAAAGTGGCCACGGCGATACCAAAATACCACCAATTAAAGAAAGAACTTTTAGCTTTGCTCTCTTCTGGATGTTGTCCATCAAATTGATCGGCTCCGAAAGCTTGGACGCAAGGCTTATGTCCCCCTTGAGCAAATGCCACAATATATAAGGAGAAGAAAAATAAAACTACGTGGACGAGACTGGGGGAACATGGGACACGGTTTTCTGTCTGTTGGCAGGCAGAAGTGCTGGAATAAGGTAATGTTGCAGACACAGTCAACAATCCAAGCCCCTGAATTCCACGCAAAAAAATAAAAGAAACAGACATCACATTTACTTTTAAGCCTGGTCTACATGAATAAGTGCTCTGCCAGCTTAAACCAAAGGTGAAATTCAATTTTATGGCTAATATTCAGAGGAAAATTCAACACCAATGCTTATGAAAGGCGAATATACAGCAAAGGAAATGTATTTGCTCAAGTAAAATGGTTCAGAGGATGAATTCATAAGGGATTGAGCCAACAGATTGCAGTGAGAGTCCCTTAGGTAATTGGGTGGAGACCGTGATCTAGATGATCTTCAAGGTGCGTTAACTATGTCAGTAGAAACAGCAGTATCTAAAGTAATAGGCTCAGGTGAAAGAGAAGGAAATTCTTCCTCAGGTGTGCACCAACATCATGCATAATAGGCTCGGGTGCAATAGCTACTTCTGGAGAGTCACCATTTTCAACTACTCCAGCCACAAGACAAGGTTACACAAAATCCTTGAGGAAATCTGCTGTGGATGAACAATCAATATTGGGCTGTGATTGAAAGAGAAATAATTCCTCTAAAAATATAACATTTCTTGAAATAAAGAACTCCTGCTTTGAAATATCAAAATGCTTAGTCTTTAATGCCTCGAGGATATCCAACAAATACACATGGTGGAGCCCTTGGATCAAATTTAGAGACATTTGGCTAAATAGAATTCAGCCTTTTCTAAAGCTAAATCAGAAATTATCCTCATACAACACGAAAGCCGTGAAACATGTAGCAAAATTTCAACCGACTGGAATGGATTGAACTCTTGGAGGGCATGATTCACCCAAGATCAGGATCACACAACAACAGGGCATGATTCACCCAAGATTAGGATCACACAACAACAGGGCATGATTCACCCAAGATCAGGATCACACAACAACCGGGCATGATTCACCCAAGATCAGGATCACACAACAACAGGGCATGATTCACCCAAGATCAGGATCACACAAGAACAGGGCATGATTCACACAAGATCAGGATCACACAAGAACAGGGCATGATTCACACAAGATCAGGATCACACAAGATCAGGGCATGATTCACTCATAAGGAAGAATACATAGTCCATTTTCAAATC